TTGCTTCTTCTTTGGTTCTTGGTTACCTTCTTAGTGTTTGGCTCCTAGCAAATGGTTACTCACAATTTTATCTTTTCATGACCACTCAGAAACGCTCGAGACCCATCTGCTACTCACTTCACTGCGATGCAGATCGTGATATTCTTGAACGATGTTAAGTCAATTGACTTAGTTAGCCTATGAAACTATGGCCGAAAACTTTCAATCCAAGAAAAGTAATCCTTGAAGTTGTTTGGTTATGTCTATGAAGTACTCATATGTGTGTCCTCAGTGGAAATATGTGTGTGCATCCACATATGTTGGAGGTTCAAATAGAATTTGGGCACATATGATGGAGGTTCAAATAGGATTTAAGGATAATGCATGGCATATTCCCACGAACTTTTTGAAGCCCCCTTGCAGTTGTATTTGCAGCTACTTACAAATACTTTGAAGCCCTGGTGGAGTAGTGGATTACAAGTTGGGCTGCTCATCACAAGGTCAGCAGTTCAAAACCACCAGATGCTCTGTGGGAGAGAGATGGGGCTTTATAGTCCCATAAAGATTGAGAGTCTCAGGAACCCACAGGGACAGTTCTACTCTGTCCTATAGGGTCACTTTTGAGTTGGAAAGGACGCAATGGCTGTGAGTGACGGGTACTTTACTATGAGTCAGAATCAACTCATGGCCATAGATTATAGATACTTCTTGGAGGAAGTAACAGTAACTGGAAAATATGGCCTTGATGATCGAAACAAAGCTGGAGATTGCATGATGGAATGTTGCAAGATGAGCAACTTTTTCATTATAAACCCCCTTTATCAACAATATAATTGGCAGGCGTACACATGGACCATGCCACATGGAATGCCTGGCAATCAAACCGACTACATCTGTAGGCAGAGATGATGGAGAAGCTCAATATCAGCAGCCAAAACGATAGAGGTTAACTGTGGACTAGACCATCAATTGCTCATTTGTAATTTCAGTTGGAAGTTGAAGAAAATGAAAACAAGACTGTAAGAGTCAATATTTGACCTTAAGTAAATCCTACATGAATCTTAAAAATATCTCAAAAAGAGATTTGATGCACTGAACACTAACGACAGAATACATGATGAGCTATGAGATGATATTGATGAAGAAAGCAAATTGTCATTAAAAAGACAAGAAAGAGAACGGAGTGAAAGAATGAAACTCTGAGTCTCTGAACATAGTAACTAAAGCAAATGGGAAAATGACAAGAAGAAGAGCAGGACATTTCAAAGGAAAGCATCATGATGACATGTGCAAAGGCCCGGAGTTAGAAAGCGAAAAGGAAGACCATGCTCAGCATATCTCAAGCTGAAAAAACTAAAGAAAAATTTCTAGCCATGAGTTTCAATATTGAAGGATTCTATAGGAAAAAATACTGAATGATTCAGGAAGCACCCAAAGGTGATAGAATACGGTCACTGTATCAAGAAGAGGTTGATATTCAGCCATTTCAAGCAGTAGCATTTGATCAAGAAAGAAATCCAAGCTGCTCCGGAAGCATTAGCAAGAACAAGGTTCTAGGAATTGAT